CGGTTATAACAGTTTCATAGTAGACTTGTCTTTTCTCTGTTCTCTATTGTTTTTGTCGCGTCGCCTTTTATAGGATTTTCTCAACAATACTAAACTGTATTTAATCGGGTACAGAAGTGGATATATCGTTGATTCTTGTGTTTCCGAATATTCTACAATCTTGAAGAATTGGCGGGAGTTTCGCCATACGTAATTAACACGGTAAGCTAAACACCCCTCAAATATAAACTTATTCGAAACAAACGTTGACATCAAATAAATTATAACAAATTCGTTATACGCAACACATATCTGATACTACAAGTCACGCATATTTTTCAATACAAATTCAATCAAACATCGTTCATATTAAAAATAAATGCATAATAATAAATTCGTTACACAGTGAAATGTACTACTTTGAAAGTTCCATTGTAAAGACAAACAACAATTTCAGTGTTTACTCGTTTTTTTTTCACTTCGATCTATGAAATAATTTTTATATATATTATAAAATATTTTTAAAAATAAAACATTATACCATATAGAGACGATTGATTTGTCATATCTAAAAATGCAGCAGCTGAGACTTTAACACCAATGAATCAATATAAGTTCTTTCAATGAATGTGTGGTTTGTTTATTTTCCCAAAATAAAAACTAAACGTACTTCCGCAGGGTCCCCGAAAGTGTTCTGTTTCGAGAGTAAATAAAAGTAAAATTAAGAGTAACAAACATTTTATTTCTTGCTTTTTGAAGTTCATATGTTATGCTTGTGTTGCAGCCTACAGAGTGCATAATTCTTCTCGTAATTCATGGCATTAGCACGTTTTACTGACGTCATTTTAATGTCTACTGACTGACTGTATAGTGGTGTGAGTGGTTAAAACAGGTGATCTGTTTTTGTTTTTTTTTAATTAAGCACAAAGCTACACAATGGAATATCTGTGCTCTGCCCACTACGAGAATCGAAACCCGGTTTCTAGCGTTGTAAGTCCCCAGACATACTGCTGTGCCACTAGGGGGCGACCCGTTTTTAAAACAATTATCTTATTTTTTGAAAAAAATGAGCAACACTATTTTTTAATATAATAGATAAACTTGGAATAGATTATCCAACCTTTTACAAGGTTTTAGGTAGATAAACTTTATACTGAAAGAACATTTTAAAATTATTCAGTTCATTTAAAGGTATTTTTCTGAACTCATCAACACTGCTTGAAAAGTAATTCCAATTTCAACGAATTTCATTTTTACAGTTTTAGTTTCTTTATAGTAATTGCTACTGGGATGCACTTTTATATAATATTTTTATGTTGTCCTCAAGCTCTACCTAGCGCCACTTGTGGAGACTTATCGATGCAAAATTGAAACTGACGAAGTAGGCTAAAAACAAATCTAATGTACTCCCCTACTCTTTCATAACTATTAATTCCTTAAGTTATAATTTTATTTAAAGACCAACTGCTAACATTCTACACACTTGGCGTTTTTCTTGATAAAGATGATACTGAGGTATATTTTTTAACTAATGTTAAAAGCTACATGTATGATATCCAGGTACATTAATATCAAACAGTTGGTCAGAAATATTCGACAAACGCAGGTTCCACAAAGGTTATGCAGGGAATGGTTTTGAGAGCAAATGAAATACAAATGACGCAATTGTACAAGTAGAACAAAATCTTTATTTATACAACAGGCGAGTCTTGACTTAACTGGCCGGACCATAGCTTGTTGTAAGAGTTCAACTGGCTTGTGGGGTAGGTAATAAAATCAAATCACATCCTCACAGCTAAAATTCAAAAATAGATACGTCCACATCAGTCAAGGACCAAAGCAAGATAAGGACTAAAACAAGAATAAGTATATATGACACGGTTAAATCACATCAGAGTCCTAGTGTGGTGTCATACAATCCTTAGATTACCTACAATAATAAAAACATACCAGTGATACACATACAGGAGTTTCAGACAGTGAATAATGGCAACTAGGTTATTAATTTATTAATGATACAAAATTTTGGATGGAATCTGATCTATTTCAGTGCAAAAGTTGAATGCCCAAATCAAGATACGGTCACTTAGAGTTGAATAAATGTTTGTCAAAAGTCTTAAGATGTTAATATGCTATTCAAAATCTTAGACGAGATTGACAACTCAATTAAGTACTGGAAAGCGTGTGATTAAATCCCAAGGTCTTAGTAACTAATAAGCGTATGGATATCCTAATGAGAAACTTCTAAAAATATTCACGTTGGATATTTATTTACATACTTAATAATACAATATTTCTAAATAGCTAATAAATTTTAACTACAATCAATCTATTATATGAAAAGGAGACGCAAATAAAAAAGAGAATGCTTAATAATTATACTTGATAATTAATGATTATAATGCTTTCCTATAGAAGGAAAGAATTATTAATAATAATAAAAAATAAAATAAACACACACACACGCATATATATATATATATATATAAAAGTACAACATATGATATATTTGATAACAAATGCTGGCAATAGTATCATAATATTTGTATTTTTAATTAATTATAAAAATAATTAAGTAAATCATAAATTTAATGAGTAGTTTTTGAAACAAACCTTAAACGTTTTTAAAGAGTTCATTCCTCTTATATTATTGGGTACTGCATTCCAACTTTTCTACTACATAAGTTATTGAACATTGATCTATTATTTTTTAAATATTGGTATGTGTAAATCATCATCAAATCTTGTATCAAAAGGACCTCAAGGTGGAGGTTTAAACACCGAGTCTGGACCTTCGCTTTAGCTATCGAATCACGAGTTATACAGAGTATAACAAAAATAACGCCTCATATACGTTTGTCTGTTTTAGATTTGGAAGGCGACACTACATCAGATTTCCATAAACGTCTAATAGTGTCTAGCAGTAGAAGAACTTTCCCTGTAACAACCATAAATTTGAGTTGCTGATATTGATTGAAGCTGAGTGTCTTCATAGATGGAGTGCTATTTTTGTCAGATTCTACCTCTGACGCCCAGTCACTCATGAATAGATTCTACTAAATTTGTTGCTAAACCTTAACAAACTTAATAATGAACATAACACACATAAGACCATAATAACTTTGTAAACCGCATAGGCTCGCAAAAAATAAAATAATAAAAAAGAGAAAACCCTAAATCCAAGCCCTTTCGAAAAGTTGACCTAACTTCTTAAACCCCTGAAGATGTAAGGCCCACTATTGAATACAGTAACGATTATAATGATGATAAACATTTATTTATACGAAACAAAAGTTTAGGAATATAACTGTATCTACGGGTCTTGAATTTCTCATTAAAGAGTTTGTTTGTAGTTAAGCACAAAGCTACACAATTGGCTATCTGTACTCTGCCCACCACGGGTATTGAAACCCGGTTTCTAGCATTGTAAGTCTGCAGACATACCGCTGTGCCCCTGGGGGGCTTCTC